TAGGCCGTGAGGGGAAGCCGGGTACGGGCCGCCCGCCCTGCTGCTTCGGGAGCTGGGGCTGACACTCCGCATAACATCTCCGTTTCCCCGCTCTCCTTTTCTTCAAGAACATGATGCTGTTGGGAAAACTTGTGCAGCCGGTGTGCAGCCTCAGCAAAGGGCGGCCGCCGGGCGCCTGCAGACTCTTCTGGGGATGGCTGAATGCCGTGTTCAACAAGTAAGAGCGATTTGGGGTGCTCAGGTCAGTTAGCGGGTCCCACGTATCCACTGTGCGGTTTGTGAAGCACAGAGAATTAAGTCCCAAGACCGGAGAGAACATTTTCTATCACCAGGGCTCTTCATTTCTCCCAGATTGCATGTTGATGCTTGGCAGGGGTCATTCCTTACCTGTTACAGGTACGTTTCCAGTGACAAAGCTGTGGCCTTCCAGAGGAAGATGTGTGCCTTGCTCCCCTCCCTGGGGTGGCCGAGGCAAGCTGGCGATGTGGATTCTGTCCCTAAATGCTGGTCTTCCTTGGACCCCCAAATGCATTTAAACCAGTAGCACAACCGTGCCCCCCTTTACTTATTCAGAAAAGCATGTAACCAACCCATCGTTTACAATGTGATTCCGCCACACAAGGGTTTCACATTTACTTTTAGAAGGATAAAGCCTTTCTCTGTGAAACTCTTTCTCTGCCCATCACTTTTGCCAGCAGCTAATAGTTTTGCCTTATGTCATCTCGCTCTGGAAAGGGTTGTATGGTGTGGCTGATTGCTGTAACAGGGCGGGAAGCTCAGCCAGACAGGAGTCTCTTCCAGGTCTCTGCTTCTGTCTTCAGCTTTCCTCACCAGCCTAAGAAAGATACCCTTTTCCTGAATGGACCCAAGGATTTTAACTAATTGCTGACGTGTGTCTTTTGAAATACTGTAATTGTTGAGGAAAAAAGGCTTCAGGAATGACATACATGTGACAGGCAATGAGAGGTTTTTATATAACCAATGTTTGGGAGACAAACTTGCAAGTGTTCTAAAAGCCTTACTCTGGGTAGAGAAAGGCAGTTTTTTACCTCTCCTTACAGACATGGAAGGAAACAATCAGTTAGAAAGGTTAAGTCAAGTCGCATTTGTAACCTTTCTTTTTTTACCAAAAGCATCTGCCATTTAAAACAAGTTAAAAAACCCCTCATGCCAGACTGATTAAGAACCAGCACGATCCCAATAATTATAAGTAAACCGTTTCAAGTAAATCATATTCTTACTTTTCTGACATCTTACCATGGACATAACCAAATCTTTGTTGTGCAGTATTATTATCATCAAGATAATAAATCTGCCACATTATAGAAACCATGTGAATGCTCTTTCTGTCTTGGCAGAGTGGACTACGAACGTATACGAGCCGTTGGCCCTGACAGGGCCGCTTCCGAATGGCTGTTGCGGTGCGGTGCATTGGTGCGCTACCAAGGCTATCAGAAATGGCAGCAGGACTACAACGGTCTCCCAACGGGGCCCTTGGGGAAATACAAAATAGAAGCAATTAATGCCACTGACTCTTGCATCATGTACAGAGGATTTGACTATTTGGGTAATGCAAACACAGCTGTGCAAAGATTATACCGAGTTGTCTTAGTTCTTTCAGTTGCATCAAAATATGAACAACTCTGTCATTTTCTCATTCCTTAGTAAGATACAGAGAAATCTTTCGAATTTTTTTTCCCTTAAAATGGCTCTACAAATATTCAGCAGTTCCTAAGATTTTGCTGGAGGTGTGGTGTGAAGCAGAAAGAGATTGGGAACTTCATCAGCCCTTACCTGAAGTGGCAGTAGCACTAAGGAAGTGCGGCCAAGATTTGCTGTTCCGTTGAGTTCATAGTTAAGTAGTTGATAGCAAAAAGCACTACTTTAAATATTCTTTTTCTTCTAAACCAAGTGATGGTTTTGGTGTCTGTGAAGTCATAATACTACTTGTTCTCCAGGCATTTATGATGTCTTCAAAGACCAAAAAAAAAAAAAGCAGACACTCAGTTTCTTACAAAATAAGAGATTAAAAAAGTGTTTCAGGTCTCCTTTAAATAACAAAAACCAAAGTGAGGAACAGACCATTTTATTTTTTCATGGGCAGGGGACCTTGAATTTCCTGCATTAATACGTTCCTAAGTCAGAGTCATTGTTTATCACCCAAACTTGTAGAGGTTTTTTGTTACTTGCCCACTTCAAAGCTCTTAGAATCTTACCAAAAGGATACAAACCCTGGAGTTTTCATATATTTGAAGTACCGCAAAGGGACTCTGGAGATTCATTGTGCGTTACAGCCCCCACTGCACAAAGGAGCATGTTGGAGGCAGTTATGAAATTGAGAACTTAACAACCAGTACAGGTTGTTCTTGGTATTCTGAAGCAATTACTCATTTTTGTCTTTCCAGATGGTCTTGAACACGTTACAGAAATCAAGCTGCAGAAGTGTATTTACATACAGGACGAGTGTCTGCAGAGGCTCAGCGAGACGAAGAATCTACAGAAGAGTCTCCTCCAGCTGAAGATAATTTCCTGTGGGAACGTCACAGATAAAGGCATCATTGCCCTTCACAAGCTGATGTACGTGAGCCGCTGAGGTCTTCTGGAGCACCCTGCTTCCCTAGCTGTTGCCCACCCCGCGGTTTTGGGATTGCGTTGACTGGAAGGGCTGAAGTCCAACTGTTTCTGGGCTGTTTCAGATGTGTGTGGGGCTGTGGGATGGCGGGACTGACCCCAACGACAGCCTGTCTCTGCACAGAAGGTTTCTTCAAGCGTTGTTAATGACAGTGGGGTGGATAGCTCTGAAAAGGCATGTGAATTAACACAGACACATTAATTAGCCTTTTAAGGCTGGTGACAGGGAGTTGTGTAGCACCAAGGTGTGCAGCTGAGAAAGCCAGAATTGTCCGCTGCAGTACATGAATCCCTAAGTTGCGTTTCTGCCTTCAGAGTTGAGCAGAGCATCTCCCGTTTACACTAGAAGTAACTTGGGCGATGTTGATTGTGGCACAAATTAGAGCACGGCATGTGCTCTCTGCCGACACACAAACCTGTGCGGGGGCAGCGGACGTGTACAGCTTCCTTTCACGTTCGCACACGAGGTGGGTTTTGCTTGAGAAGAAGTAATCGATGATCACCTGGGTTTCCACTCCTGACCCCCCCTGCTGCAGCTGCTTTTCAGGGCAGTTTTTGACAGTTTCCTGTAACTTTGTCTTTTTAGACCTTACACTGCTTCCTAGCACTCAGTTAACTTTTACTAAATTGCTATTGAAATTATTAAATACTATTTAAAGGAAGCTTCATGATGTGGGGGGTCCAGGATCTCTTTTTGAGCTGTGTAGAAGGACTGAACTTATGGTGAGCTAAAAACTTTAAGCACCCACTTCAGAAAAAAAACTTCCATTAAAACCAGTAACTTTTAAAATACTCAAAGCAACTATGGTAGAATAATCCTTTGTCTAATTTCTGTGTAAACAGTTAAATTGTAGTTGCTGACTTTTCTTTTTAAATATTTATAGGAACCTTGAACATTTGTATCTGAGTGACCTTCCTGGAATAAGACAGAAAGAAACGACTGTTCGCATCCTTCAGCAGGCACTGCCAAACCTAGAGCTGGAGCTGGATTTAGAATAAACGCAATTGCATGTAATTGAGATGTGTTTGACTTCACAGTATTTATCGTACGTTGTGTAAATTAAGTTGGAGACACTACTGTATTTCCAGGTATGGAAATAAGCTCAGATCTCCCAGCCTCAAAAGCTGTACGCAATCTTTTGGCAAATGATGCAATTAAGTTTTAATAAGCTTAAACTATATGGTGACTCAACAACAGAGAAGGCAGGCTTCTGTGCATAGTCATTTTTTTCCTGTTTTTATAGGAAGCTGTTAATAGATCAATTAGAAGTTCTCAAATATTTTATTGCACAGAAATTCTTGTGCAAAACGACAGTGGGAAGAACACCAATGTTGTGCAAGAGCAGCACTGAACACTTCTATTTCATGTTGCTGATGCTGCGGGAACGAGAGCTGTTTACTTTCCGAGAATCTCGCCCAGTCAATGGCTGCCGATTTAATAAAATAATAGCTTATGGACCTCTTTTGCTGTTCTTCACGCTTCGACTCATGTAGCCTTTCTTTGTTTTAAATGGCGTGATTTACAGGCAGGCAGTCTGCGCTTCTCATAAACACTGAGCTGACGAACTGAACGTGGCTCTACTTGTGGAGAAGCAGGGTCTCTTAGATACGCCCTTGCCCACAGTTTTGCTGTACGCTGACATGGACTGAGTTAGTTCTGTGTACCTCTTTAGTTGCATCTGTATCGCTCCTGCTAAATAAGAGGACGATTCATCCTCGGGAAAAATATAGCATTTTTTAGTCAAATTCCTGGCTTTGGTGGCAGGGGAGAGAAAGGCAGTAGGTAGCAACTCCAAGAAAGCAGCTTTCGCAGTGGCGTCTCAGACATGGCTGCCTCCGCATAACTGACAGTCTCTTCTCTCATCCCCAATTGTCAGCCCGTCCTCTGAAGGAAATGATGCCAAGCACCGGAAAGGATAACATTTGCGCTGGCTGCATCACCGGGCTGATTCTTCCTGGTATTTCCCAGCTGACAGCGGGCAGGAACAGTGCCCAGAAATGAAATTCCCTCCAGCCCGCAGTGCCCTGGGCCGCGGCCTCGCGCTGACCACCAGGCTATCATCTACCGCTCACAACCAGCGCCCGGGGGCTGCTGTACCTTCCACGTACAGGGGACGAGATGGCTGAACAGCCATACAGAAAATACTGGAACACCAAAGCTTTCTGAGTGTAACCAAAACTACCTATGGACACAACGTACAAGATTAAAATACATAAAATTCTAATATGAAATAAAAGGTAGGCAGGCCTGCTCTGTGAGGATACGGCATCTGTCCCGTGGAAATGGCTTTTACTGTTGTTGAACACAGAACGGTACTGGGAAAAGAAAACATTTTTGCTCTAGGTTTCAAGTAGAAAGAGGATGTTCCTTGCCCAGTAGTAAAACTTTATACAGTAAAACAAATCCAGTAAATTGGAAAAACAAGCTACATTTCTTTTATTCAAAATCAACGCCACATTACATCCCGAGATTACAGAAAACCCAAGAACTGTTCTAATACGAATGCTTAGGTAGAATTCCTGCCTGTGTCTGGCCAATGTTATGATTTATTTTTGAGAAAAACAATTTTCTGTAACACTACAGGCAAGTGACACCACTATTGACAGAAACAGCAAACAGAAACAGCCTCATAATGCAAGGAACAAACAGGGAGGGAGAAACTCTGAAAAGACTCAAGAAAGGTTTTACTGTTTCTACGTTCTCCTGGTAACAGCGCCTGTTGCGCCTGCCATCAAGTCTAAGGCATGACCAGTACTTGTAATACTTTGTGATCCGTAAGTGCAGTACCTAAGACAGACAGATCTTCAAAGCAGTGCTATTTCAGCAGGTTTATAACTAATGACCAGTCAGGCAGCCTCTCGTCAGGCTCGGCTCCACAAACACGTATCTCCCTTCTACTCGCATCAGCAAGACATTTACAGTTCCTTGTGGGATCAGTGACTTGGGCCTGGGCTAAAGCAGCGTGACTGTTTTGACACAGCGGGACTCTGATGTATTTGGCAAGGTTGCAGTTCTTCTGCCAAGTCTGACATGCAGGTGATGGATAGGCAAGAGGTTTTAAGCTCACACTGTAAACGCTGGGTTGCAGTAATCCTGAACCAGCATACAATCCTCAACCAATATACAATCCTGAGCCAGTATACAATAACAAATGAAAACAAATCAAATGTATTTTCCTTTGTACACAGACCACTGACTAACGTGAGCCTGGAGTTCTCTCTGTGCATCACTTTCCTTCCCGTAGTGACCCAGAGTACGTTACTTCACAGACTGCTTTTGTATATGTCATAACATGTATGAATTTAGTTTTCCACTGTGCGTCCTCCTCTTATAAATCCTGAATGACTTGAACTTTGAACAACCCATAGTTTTTAATCCACCGTCGGGTTAGATGTTAGGGAAATGGTAGTTGGCTTTCCTTGTTTTGCAGCAGTACTTCTTGCTGTCCAAAGCCGGCAGAACGTTGCTACTGGTTAACTGAGGCAGGTACTGTAACTAAAGGAAAAGTTACACAGTGTGTATGTGTTTGAAATGAGAACAAAGCCTGCATTCCATTTTGCAAAAAGGAATACAAGCTATAAATCTATTCCTACTGTAACCCTGTACTTTTCAAACTGAGAAGCCTGGATCTGGTGTTCTACAACTGGACCGCAACCAGAACAGCTCGTTACAGGTATTTCTTCCAGTCATCCAGGGCAAGAAAAATATTACTGTTCTATCTTAGGTCATAGAAATAGAAGAGGCGAACCAGTTTGATCCAGGAACTTATATGCTGTAGCAGTTCTACACCTCCAACTTCCAAGCATGTTACCAGTTCAGCGTTACAGCTGTCACGGGGAACGTGGCTCACCGGAAAAGCGAGCTGCTGAACGACTCCCACCATGAGGCTGGATTTGGAGACTTGGGCCGGAGTCTGGAAAGACTGAACTGGCAGGGAGACGTTTGCTTAGCGACTCCAGTCACAGAGGTGCATTGTGTAACGTCTGGAACCAAGTAAGGGATCACATCCCATCAGCAGGTACAAACGGAACCGGGCGTTTTTGCCAGCTCCAGAATTTGGGATTCAAAAGCACCAAAAAGATCCCAGAGAACTCCAAATTAAACCAGCCACACAAGCCCATCCTGTTTGTTCGGCTGCCCTGCTATTCTTTGTCAGGAATGCACATTCCTGGATAAACCTGGTCTTTCACATTGCTGTGCTGCTCGTCCCCAGTGACTCCATGAATGGAGCTGCACTGCACAAGTCCGCTTGTACCGAGTTACGCTTTAGCCAGGAAGTTCATTTTCCCCTTGTGCTAAAATTAAGATCGGTCCAACGCAGGAGCTCGCGCTCACCACTAACTGCCAGCACGAGCCCACCTCCTGGGAGCCAAAGAGAACCGGTTCCCTCCTTAGGCACAGAACATGAAATACTACTACGAAAATGTTACCCCTGGCATGTGCTTCCGAGTCAGCCGGGCTGGTTTCCGAGCTGTTTTTTCACGTTCTTTCCCCAGATCTGCTGCCTCCTTAATGCTGTCAAAATAGGGATGCTGCAACAGCTGCTCACATGTCTGCCTCTCTGCAGGGTCCATACGAAGGCAACCCTTAGAAAAGATGAAGTAAAGGATCACACAAAATGCTCGTTAAACAGGTCTGTGCAATTCCAGCTACTCGCCACAGCCAACGAGCACTCACACAGATACATGTGTCAATCTTTTTTTTTTTCCATGGATTCTAAGAGCGGCTTTTCAGAGTCAGCATGAAGCTTGCAAAGCAGCTAACACTGAACAATTGCCACAAGGCAGCAACAGAAACTGCGGCTAGAGGGACAGTTACAATTGTATGGTGTAGCAAACCATCAAGCCTCAAAAAACAGTTAAGCCCGTAACTTTCACTTGAACCAGAACAACTTTCTTCAACAGGGGAATCCACTACGGCACTAGCTGTGTTGTTCCAGCGTTCAGCGTAGCTAGGGCTGTCCACAGCTGCACCTTCTTTTTCACGTCTCCATCCTCACCGCTTCCATTCTCTGCATCTTAATAAGGGAATAATATGTTTTCCACCTCCATGGTAAAGACGAGTGGATTAGAGAGGAGTGGATTAAAAGTCCTCTCCAAATGCCCTCCAGCTCTGTTTTTCAATGAAAATCTCATAATTCAGCAGCCAACTCTCAAACCATTTACCAGCTGATAAGCAAAACAGACAGGATTTGCTAAGTGCCAGTGCAGAGCTCCTCCACGAGCTGTAGTTTTCTTACCTTCATGAGAGCTAAAGCAGCGTACGAAATATTAGGGAATTTCATTTCTAATGGCTCCTGGAGGAAAAAAAAAGTCAGTGTATTTGTATTAGCAAGGTTTTCATTCATCAGAGTACATAGAACCAGCTTTCACTAGCACCACGACCTGTACCTCACAAAATGCATCTGTCACTCCCTCTGCTTAGAGGATTGCTGCCGGGCCTTCCTGAGGATGGGCAGATGGCTGCTGGGCCACCAGACGCGGGGAGAAGGAGCAGCAATTAAGCATTTGTTTGACTGCTCTTACACAGGGTATCAGTTAAAACATCACGAGAGGGGTTCAGCCACCTCCAAATAATATTCTAGTGTACGTCGGCGAAGTGGAGGGCAAAGCTTTTGAGTAAGGAAAAAATGCTGTGCAGCAAAGGACTGGTCAAGCTGAGCAAGCGAGGCTTTTCCAGCCCTCCTTCCAAAGCAGACAGCATATGTATGCTGGGTAAAAAGAAGCAGGCACATTTCTCTGTCCAAACACCGTGTCTCCTTAGCACTGCAGATAGATAGCCGGTTAGTGCGAGGCTCAAGGGAAGTGCGTCTGGAGGGAGCTCTTACCGTGCTCTCTGGGTCGGGAATTCTTACCCCAGTGAAGAACTGGTTGGTGCTGAACACTTGCTGGTGCCTGGGAATGAGATCCCCTTTGACCAAAAAAAAAAACTCAGATTAATTTGTTGTTTTTACAGTGCCCGCATTGAACAAGCTTCTATCCTCTAACAAGGCTGACACCATCTGAGAGAACATCTAAAGAGATGCAAGTAAGCCAACAAAACGTTCTTTTGTGGAAACTAAGGTCCACCAAGGAGACCAGTGATCCCACAGCTCTGTGACTGTGCTGAATGAAAGGCAGGGCCGCACAGCTCCAGCTGCCTGCAGTCACAACTGCCCAGGGCCTCGTGCTGT